ATATATATATATATATATATATATATATATATATATATATATATATTTTTTTTTCCATGTAAATCCACAATGAAAACGTGGATAAGATAAATCTTGATAAAATCACACGGGGAAAATTTTAACAACGGAGCACCTTAGCTTTCGTCTTTATTCAAGACATCTTCAGAGGCAACTGATGTTGTCTTGAATAAAGACGAAAGCTAAGGTGGTCCGTTGTTTCCATTTTCCCGTGTGATTTTATCAAGATATATATATATATATATATATATAATAGAAATGTTTTACAAGTTGCGCCTAAGAAATGACCCAAGCAGGAGTATTGTAGTTCTTTATGTAAAACGAGTATATAACAGCCTAAATTATGACGATTAAATATTCTACAAATCCACTATACTAGACACATACCTTAGGGAAGGAGGGTCTTAACCTAATCTGCATACACAACTCTTGTTTTGTTTATGAAAAGGTTGTGATGAACATGTGGATACTTTACAATACTTGTACTGTACAACAGTATGTTTAGCCCAAACATATTCAGGCTGCTACTAATGTCTTGGGAGATCTTTTCATGAAAAATAAGATGGATAAATAAGCATACCCAACTATTCATCACATAGAATCTTTATTAAATACAGTAAAATTATAAACTTTCATAAATTTCTATGATGTGTTAACACTTAAACTGGTGCTTCCATCACCTTTGTACATCTTTATATACAGTGCATTCATTACTTACCAGCACAACCAACAAGATCACGGATTTCTCAAAATAAATTAGGTTGTATAAGGTTTTATTAACAAGAAGACCTTGATAAATTTATCAAACAATTTTGTAATTCAAGGGTGGAAAAAGAAAGCTACAGATTGCTCAAACTGCTAGGATGTTATAATATTCTCAGTATTTTGGAAAATAAAAATGACTAAGGAATATTACTGTGTGTGAAGAGAGAGCTTCACCAACAGTATCATTACCCTAACTTCTACAATAGCTACCCCACAGATAATGCTTTGTTACCCTGGTCTACAAAATTACCTGATCATTCAGCACAAATACAGGCTAAGTTTCAAACATGTATATCTTGCTTGTGTATCTTGGAAGGTAAGTTAATAATGATACTTCAGGCTAATAAAAGAGTATTAACTATATTTTCTTTATTGTATTCTATGTGACACAAAATGAACCTCCAGAACACAGGTGTAATTTCTAGATAGATGCACAGGAACCAAGCAAGATCCACAATGTACTGAACACATCCACATTAGTCTAATGGCCTTGTAGAGAGTTCATGGACTACAGTACTTAATAAAAAAGGTCTAGGAACAAAAGAAACTTGCCACCACAAGAGGTGATGAACAGCTACGACTACAACTACCTGTCATCAAATAAGTCTCTAGAAGCTGAATGAACATCTTAAATAATCAGCAAAGAATAACCAACTTTATTTTTCCAGTTCAATAAGGTAGTCCTTTTCACCTCAACAGATGAAACTATGTTGCTCATTATTATTAGTTTGATTATCTTTCCATGCAATGGAATTCCAACCCTACATTATTTGCTTGTTAAGTAATACTGTATACAGCTGTACATTGAAAATCCTGTACAGCATTAACCTATTTATAAAATTTTCAATTATCTTGTCAAGTTCTTAAGAGATCAGTCTTGTCAACGAAACCATACTAAGTATTGTTAAACATAACCCATTCAGATCACCTCAATTACACTGTGCTTGAACACCTGACTCAAAACAACTAGCACGAAATATACTACACTGTACTGCTTGAGGCAGAATAATGAAGTAGCAATTACCAAGACTAGTTTTAACAACATTTAAGGGAAAATTTCTTTTAAAGAATCTTAACCTAATGTCAGACTTCCACTAGCTTGTCTAGGTGGATAACAATGCTACACCCTCACTATAGTTACACTCTCAGTAACGAGCCAGATTTTTACAGTGCATCACACTGTAAATTTGGTAGCTTGCAATGCATAACACTAAATAGTATTTCAACAATGCATCCCCAATAATAAATGGTATTTTACAATGTATTCCACTGTAAATATAGTCCTTTACAATTCCCCACTGTAAATATTAAGTATTTTACAATGCAAAACATTGTAAATACTGCCTCAATAACTTTGGGTTTAATCATAGTAATATTTCCCTTGGGCCTTTATAATAGCATTCCTGTCTGCCAAAACACATGTACAGTACTAATGAACTCCAGTAAAACAATTTCCAAGAATATATATGCTTGTGTATCTATATATAGATATTGCCATTGCTGACAGACTTAAGAATTAACTACTACTTATAATTATTTCGTGCAAATGCTGAACAAAATTCTCGTACGTTTTCTGTACTACGACAAATAAATTAAGAGAGTTCTCGGACACGTAAACAAAAATCCTTGTCAAAATATCAAAATAATGTGTAGCAGCAAATGCCCGTATGCCATAAAGTTGGTCTTGGTTAGAAAACATACAATGAATGTGAATAAATTGGAACAAATCTTAAATTTAAAAAAGTACTTAATGCAGGAACACTACCTGTTAAAAACACAACTATCAACACTTCACAGTAGATGTGTTGAAATTTTAATCAACAAAAGGATTATCAAGATCAAGGACAAATTGCCTTAAAATTATTAGCAAAATATTACGTCTATTCCAGCACCTTTTAATATTTTTTGGATTTTACTTGGTCTCCTTATCCATATCCATCTTGGAATCTTCACCATCCTCTTTCTTGTCTTTCTTTCCATCTCCACCTAAAAAATGACAAACAAAAATTACCTACAACCCATAATTGCAACCAAATAGATAAACTCTCTCCCCAACATTAAGATAAAACAAGTTTATGCTCAGAATTTACTGATCTGAAACAGTAGACTAGACCAACACAATACAACCTTACATTCAGTGCTGTGCTTCACTAGTCTTTCTCCCATACCCCTTTTCACTGTTACAAGTCTTTTCCTACCAATGTTGTAAGGTGGCCATAATCAAGAGAAAAGGTACTCACTCCTTTCACTGATCTCCATTGAGTCATGACAACTCTTTGTGACATCTTCATATACAATATAACTTTGTAAAAAAAACAAAAAAATTGTGCCTATGCCATTTTCATAAATGGTCTATGCATTTCACTGCTGAAATGATCAACTAAATAAATTTTAACCTTTAATAATTGTTTTCCATTCTCAAATTTTTATCCACTAAATTCATATTAGCATTTCAGTGGTTATGAACCATATACAGCTCCTCCCCTACTTATGACGGGGTTAGGGACCCAAATCCAGGTCGTAAGTTCAAAAATGCTTAAATAATACAGCACCACAAAACTCTCATTTTTAAGCTTGCCAGCCATTTTAAAGTGAATTACAAACAAAAATTTTGTCAGTACACAGCGCAATCACTGATGTTGGGACTCGAAAATACGTAATTTGACAAAATTTTGTTCCGACCGAGGAGGTCGTATGTCCGGGTGGTCATAAGTCGAGTAGGTCGTAAGTCGGGGAGGAGCTGTATATATTTTTTTTAAAAGGTTCTACAGCTGATTTGTTAAAATTCAACATCCCCTCAAACATATACCACTCTTCTTGGCATTCCATTCATGAATCTCTAAGAACAAAGAGACTGTGATCTGACACATGATACAAAAAAGAATAATCAACAGTCCACTGGTTTATTAAATTATTCATGAATATCTATGTTATTGTTAACTGCCATGCTGGAGGCAGGTGTCAGGGGCATGACCCAGAGTCCAATTAAAAATTCTAGGTTGTTTCAAGGCTTTTGGTACGTGTACCGAATTGTGATCAAAACTTTTAAATCTTGGACTTCATTACAAGCTTCTGAGTGGATGTGCCAAAGCCATGGCATTAAAAGTCTGCCAATTTACTAATAGAATTAGCTACGAAAAACATGAGGATGTCATTAACTAAAACCAACGTACATGTGATGGAACAAAGCTCTGACCTCTTACCTATCAGAGGACACCATGCCAGAATTGTCGAGCCAAAATGCATTATGCAGAACAGTATGAAGGCTTCAGGAGAACCAGAATAATTATATCCACAAACTTTGAATTCCTTCCGCACGAAAGGAACCCCTGCTCCCCCTCCCAAATACAGGTACAGCATACTGTATGTATTATAATAATAATATTATTATTAATAATAATAATAATAATAATACAGGCATCTCCCGCACTACGGAATTTGTAAATTATGACCAATAATTTCGCGTTACGGCCCGTAAATCCGCCCTTACAGAAATTGGGGTAAATTTTAACAAACACAAGGCCTCACACATGCCATTCAGACTGACAGACTTGACAAGTTTTACCAACCATAAAGACAGTTGAAGCTTTAAACAACTCTCACAATGGATCTTGAATATTCCATCTGTAATCAGACATACCTAAGTTGCCTCAACAATTGCAACCCCAGTTGCAATAACAATCTGTGTCACCACTAAAAAATAAAACTGTAGTCCCTGGTGCACTCTTAAGATTAAGAGAAAACGGACGGCTCAGGCAGCCTTGAAGCGAGAGAATATGGACTCCTATGACGGGGCACTCAAATAAACATACACATAGCTGTATAATGCAATATTAACCCCTAAATTGGTGTTTTAAGAAGGTATATCATAAATTATTTAATGTACAGTATTGTATGTGTTTATAAATGTTTATTTTCATTAATAAAAGTGCTTGAATTACTTTTTGGGGGCCAAAAAAATTCCTTAGGAACGCATCTCCAGTTTTATAATGGAAGTCGATAGGAAAATAGGTTTCGCGTTACGGAATTTCGCGATACGGTCAAATTTTCCGTGAACGGAACCCTTCCGTAACAAGGGGTATGCCTGTAATAATAAATCACATGCAAATTTTCAGTCTACTTCCAACTAATTATAGATCCTCCTGTAAAACAGAGAGAGACAGACAGACAAAGGACAATACAGTGCACTCTAGCATAGCTTCATTACAATCACTGGTGGGAACATAATAAAATATCCCACTAAATGGACAGACAGAACAGTACAATTCAGTATGGCCCCAAACGTTTACTGGCCAGAAAATGTACAGTAGACTCTTGATATTTGTGAGGGTTGTCAGTGAAAAACTTTGCCAATGCAAAATCAACGAAAATAGAAACCTTGCTTCAATGGGAAACGAGGGGTTTGATTACAGGTACAATTGAATACTGTACAAAACAGTATTAGGGAAAATGTTAAATATATAAGAACAATGAAGGTTAACCCCTTTTATGGCTGATACATCTGTCTCTCTGAATAATAAAAGATTCACTGCAGATGGTACGTAAAGTATATGGTGTATGCATTTAAAACTCTTGGGAAAGATTACAGCAAGCAAATATTGGTGATAGGAAGCCTAATTGGCAACTCTCATAATGTTACCGTAGATATGGGCAGAGAAACATACAGCAACTGTAGGATGCTTCCTTGTCATGCCATCCCACCCCACTAGTTATAGTGATAGTCTTGGTGGATATGACACAAACTGAGTCAATTAACAAGTGAAGATGAATGGCCATTTAGTGAAGATGAGAGACGTGGTGACTCTGAGGGAGCCAGTGAAGGTGCACATGATCCAGACACCACATACTGTATATATAGCTAGCTTCTTCCACACATAAACCATACACTGGGCAATGTGACAGTTACACTTTCGGAATATCATCTACACATTATCAGCTCACTTGGCAATGTAAGTGATCCATTTATTTATTATTCTATTATTTACTTAATTATTACTTGTATGTTTATTTAAAAAATATCTAAGTTTGCACAGTAATTATAATAGAATATTTTTTTGGTGCACCCTAGGCATGGTAACTGAGTATGTTTGTTGGTTGAAATAATGAGAACAATCTTTGGAACAATCCGAATAAGATGCAAAATCTGAACAGAAAACGAACTGATACCTGTAATCTAACACCAAAATTCGGTTGCTTTCAAAAGTCAAAATAACCCTAGCTCGGTTAATTTGGATTTTTCGGCAATTCAAGTGACTCGGAGCACCTTTTTGTCAAATGAACGTGGGTAGAGTGTATGATGAAAAAAAAAACTTAATATCAGTAAATGATTTATTACTAGTTTGGGGGTTTCAGACACAGTAGTACGGGTCACTCAACATTATTCTTGTTAACATTCTCGTGGGTAGATGACATGCAGTAATGGTAGTGAGTACTGATGAGAGGTGAGGTAGTAATGGTGGTGAGGACTGGTGAGAGGTGAGGTAGTAATGGTGGTGGGGTCTGGTGAGAGGTGAGGTAGTAATGGTGGTGAGGACTGGTGAGAGGTGAGGTAGTAATGGTGGTGGGGTCTGGTGTGGGGTGAGGTAGTAATGGTGGTGGGGTCTGCCGAGAGGTGAGATAGTAATGGTGGTGGGGACTGGTGAGAGTGAGGTAGTAATGGTGGTGGGGTCTGGTGAGAGGTGGGAGTAATGGTGGTGGGGTCTGGCGAGAGGTGAGGTAGTAATGGTGGTGAGGACTGATGAGAGGTGAGGTAGTAATGGTAGTGGGGTCTGGTGAGAGGTGAGGTAGTAATGGTGGTGGGGTCTGGTGTGGGGTGAGGTAGTAATGGTGGTGGGGTCTGGTGAGAGGTGAGGTAGTAATGGTGGTGGGGACTGGTGTGGGGTGAGGTAGTAATGGTGGTGGGGACTGGTGTGGGGTGAGGTAGTAACGGTGGAGGGGACTGGTGTGGGGCGAGGTGCACCTCCACTTTTGAATAAAAAAAAATGTGGTAGATGGGAAGTCAATGTGGTTTTACCCTCACTGTACTGCTATAGTAAATAATATTTCATGGATTATGATATTTTTCATGTATAAGATACAGTAAAGGTTTACCCCAAGAAGCAAGGATTTCAACCCATTGAGAATTCATGACTACAGGATATTGAATAACTCACAAATATAAGAAATTTGTAAATTTAGAAACTGCAAATATTGCGGGTGTACTGTACACAATGTAGGTAAGAGCACAGTGTCTATACGAAGTCTGTCCGGAAAGTATCCAGCCATTGTGAATATTGTGAGAACTGGTCGCGAGGCCTTGATGTAACTTGGCAGCCACTCAAGAGAGTACCGTACTGCGCATGCATGAACAGCCACACTCCCGTGGGACAACTCAGTTGACCGGCAGACGTCGTTGAATGAGCGCGAGTACTGTGTGACCGTCGCATTTACAATGACCAAACAATAACAAAGGAGTACTACATCGAAGTTCTTCGCCGGCTGAGGGATGCAGTAAGAAGAAAACAACCGCAGCTGTGGGCAAGTGGACCCTGGCAGCTTCATGACAACGCGCCTGCCCATTCTTCGCGTCTCGTGCAGGGCTTTTTGGCAAAACATCGCATCACCCAGGTCTCTCAGCCCCCCTACAACCCAGATTTGGCTCCCTGCGACTTCTGGCTTTTCTCAAAGCTAAAATCGCCGTTGAAAGGGGGAGATTTCAGACCGTGGACAAGATTAAGGAGAATGTGACGAGGCAGCTCATGAAGATCCCGAAAGAGGACTTTGCAGACTGTTTTGAAAAGTGGAAGGGACGCTGGGAGAAATGTGTGAGGTCCCAAGGGAAGTACATTGAAGGGGACTAAGGCACCATTGTCCTAGGTAAGCAATATTTTTTTTTAATAGTAAATGGCTGGATACTTTCCGGACAGACCTCGTGTAAGGGAAAAAGACTATAGAAAGACAGTCCTCTTTGGTAGTCAGTAGAGACAAAGGATAACATATACGGTAATTATTAAACAATAAAGAAAGATTAAAGTAACCGTCCGACAACAAAAACTATTTTAATGCCTACCGTCCAACTCACCCTCGGAGTCATTACCCTCGCCTGTGGAATTATCACGTCTCCTCTTACGAGTGAAGCGGCCACCCCGCTGGAATTTTGGTGGTGGAATTGGGTCCATTCCAAGCACCTTGTGTATCTGACGGAATGCTATCAACCGCAAGGCATGCTAAAATGAAAAAAAAAAATAACAATTAACAACAGGGAAGGATGGTATAAATTGTATAAAAAAACAGTAATAATCACAAACATACCTACAATCATTACACCAAGAACAGCATCAACTTTTTCTTTGTGGAAATTAGTTAACAGATTTAAAATGCTGGGCAGCTAACCAGTCCACAGAATTACTGACAATCCCTTACAAGGTTGGCCAAAGGGGTTTTATACAGGGTCAAATCGATGGTGATGGCTTCCACTTTCAAAACCAGTATAAAGAAAAAAGCACCAAGAATCTACCTTCCTCTACTCCAACTAAATGGGGTTCAATACAAAATTAACAAAGCGCCTGATAGAACATTACTTATTATTGGTATACCCGAGTAAAATTTTACACGATGAAAAGAATGGTTTAAAATAATTCAGAGGAAAGCAGACATGCAATATAATTTAACACCTCTAACACATCAATGAAGAATATATATATATATATATATATATATATATATATATATATATATATATATATATATATATATATATATATATGTGTGTGTGTAAGTACAAATTACCAAAGTAATACCTGAGCAGATGCAGTAATGTCTTCCCGTTCTTGGGCAGAGAGGGGGGAGGCAGCATCAATCGGATCCTTTTCACAAGGGTCTAGAAGACCAGGCGAACCTGGCAGTAGTAGCCCAGACGCTAGTGCCTCAAATACCCGACGAAGTGCATCCCCAGGACTTAAATGCTGCCCAGCCGAAGCAATTACTTTCTCACACATCAGTTCCATTGCCTGCCACAATAAACAGTCCATTAATATACACTAAGTTTACAATACTTAACTGGAGTGGTGGTGAAACATAAAATGTACAAAGCAAATAGAAATGTAATGTGGCCAGTAAATGTTACACAAACAAGAGAGAAGACTCAGTCGCTGACAAAAATTAAAGTTGGGTTAAACACAGCTGATTCCTCTGGAGATTTTTTGAATTGAGGTTAAGGCTAGGATAATATCAACGTGGCTTAGTCTGTTTTACTGAAGGCTGCGAGTGAAAAGCACAACTTGAAAGAAGTTGCATTTTATTTGCTTGGTTTCAAGAAAAAATAAAATGGAATTGAGGTAAAGGCTTGTCAGTTGAGTCTCTCATGAAGGTGACAATACTATACAATGCAGTACAGCATTCAGTAGAAAACTGCACAAGTGGGGGAAAAATACATTGAACACTACTACAGTAACTAATCAGCTTAGGGAACAAACATCTGCTTGTAAAATAATCAGATAATGTGCAAGTCCTAACTGACATTTGTCTTAATTAATACTGTATAGCAATATAATGTAAAGTAGGACAATTAACTTGTATGTAATCCTGTATTCTTCTGGATGACCGTTTGTTGGAACAATGGACTTCCCCCTTCCTATAGTCTTTGAAATGCTATAAGTAGAGCAAAACAAATACAGTACATAATACACATTTCTCATCTGTTATATCTGTCTATTATATGACCTGAACATTGCTGTTAATTTTTCCAAGGCACACAGTTGAGAAACTTAAACTATAGTAAGACTCCCTAAGGAGATTAATATTCCTAAAATTGTCCCCACACACAAAATTGCAGCACTTCACCAATACCAATATGTTTCTAATACACATCAGTTGGGGGAGTTTATGAGGAAGCAGGGCAGGTCAGGAATATATATATATATATATATATATATATATATATATATATATATATATATATATATATATATATATATATATATATATATATATATATATATATATATATATATATATATATATATATATATATATATATATATATATATATATAAAAGGGGGAGGGGGGTCAAGAAGCTGTGGGCGAGAGAACACGGAGTGCACAGCGCACCAAACTTGAGCTGGGGGGGGGGGGTGACCTGAATCTTAATGTCTTATCTTTATACCCGAGAACGAAGTGGATGACTATTGTTGCTTCATCCCAGTGTACTGCTAAAGAACTTATACTTTGCCTGGATACAGCACCATAAGCTAGAGGACTAAGATGATTTGGCATAGTGTGGTAGCTGCAGGAAGGTGATCTTTTACATCTGTGAAAAATTTACTGCGATCAATCAATAATTATGGACGATTCTCATTCCAACCATTGGGAAACTTTCATCAACGACCACTGACTTCAATTATTTTATGATGCCGACCACGAGTGCAGTGTATGTGCCATAACCATACCTACATCCCCCAAATATCTGTTTGGGAAAGGTTATAAAATATTAATGTGGCAACTGCAAAGTTCAGGACCAAGGGGCGTCTGTAAAGTGGATAGTTGAATAGGATAAAGTGGATACTATCATGAACTTGTGTCCAAAGAAAACCTACAATAAATCATAGTGCTGTACACCATTTGTGTCAGTCTGGATATGTTATTCTTTCTGAAAATACCAGTACAATAATTCATCTTATTATTCTCTAACACATCACTGTTATCAAACCTCCCGCGCCTTGTGACGCAAATCACGTCATTAAACTTTATACCCCCCCCCCCCAAAGGTGTTTTTCATGATAAATTACATCAAATTGTTATGCATCAGATATGACTGCATGATCTCAAGAGGGAAGCTTTCAGAAAGTACCAAAGCATATGTGGAGTTCACTGTCAATCAGTTTCCTCACGTGAGCCATACTGGTAGGTCGTGTTTGTACCTTTATCTCCTCTCCCACTCTCCCCTACCATTAGTTGTATCAAAATATCAAAATTCCAAAGCCACCTTGGAAGATTTGTGATGCTGGAAACATTATTTTTTTATTCTTTATTTGGAGTGAAAACAAATGAAGTAATGGTCGTATACTCAACTTATTTACTTTTTTAAGTCAAGACAATAACTGGATAAATTGGCCAAAGAACAAAGATGACCAGATGACAGCATATGAATGATGACAGGTCCCATTGTGTGCACGAGGGTTAAGTCTACAAATAAGTACTGTATACGTTTTACTATGTCATTATTTTCCTAAAATCCAATCACCATAAAACTTACTCCTCAAACGCACAAGAGGAAAAGTAGACACCCCCCCCCCCACACAGTGTCACTCAGCCTGTTGCCCAATTGTCTAATTCCTCCCTATTGACTCATGTAATATGTTGAAGGAACACACCGGTCAAGTGGATATAAAGCTCGCCTCCTATAGCAGGGGTCAGTGATTCGATTCCCTAACGCTCCCAGTTCACCCAGCTGTAAATGGGTGCCTCAGTTTACAAGTTGGGGAAGTGAATGTAGTCCAGTACCGGCCATGCTGCCGCCTCGTGCTCCGAAGACTGAGGATACAGTGTGCTGTATTCAGACTGTCCCTAAAGGGCAATCATGCCTATGGACCCACTTTCACTCTGAATATGTGGAAAATAAACTAAATTACATTCTATATTCTTAAATTATGTACAATAAAGGCATCAAATTGTATGGATGGAAGCGAAGGAAGGTTTAGAGGTATGGAGACTGCCAACATCATGTGGGAGACAATGAGTGGAATAGTCTGCCAAGTGGGACTGGCAGCACCTGGGCAGGATTGGTAGCCAAAATACAAACATTTTGTTCCTCCGTCTGCTGATGCTTTTTTCTCCACCGACATTAAGGCATTAAATATCATGCCACATTTGAAACATTTCAAGGCAGCTCATGGTGACATCAGTGCTGTGGAGCTCATGGTGACATCAGTGCTGTGGAATCTTCAGTTCTTCATGAAGCTCCTTAGCTTTACCACAAAGCATTAGAGCAGATATAGCACTTCTTCCTTTCCTCTTTGCATGAAACATTTTCATAACACTTTACTCAAGCACACTGTCCTTGGATCAGACTTCTCAAAACCTTCTCCCTTTATTTTTAAACATAGCACTTTATATTTCTTTTAGCACAGTTAACCTGCAACTGGTCATTAACATTCAGGTACGTGATTGCCAATGTTACTATCTCTGGTTATTCACACAGTAGAATGTTTTCTAAATAGAATATTCCTCCTGTCTTTGAAACAGTCTAGCTCCCATAATCTGGTGGTGTCTCGCATCTTGTGTAAATGTTCCCCATCACTCGGCAAATCTGGGTCTCCCAGCATGTTTATGTGTGTGTGTACACACACAAACATGCGATTATTACACGCTAGATCCCTGATATATTGCAATTCAATGCAATAATTTCAAGATAATGGAGCAACTTTAATTAATCAAAATTTTCCGTTAGTGTATACTTTAGAACTCAGTCAGAAAATAAAACTGGTGGTCATGACAACTCGCCTGGAATACATTATTCTGACTGCCTCAATTGAAAATATGAAAATATCAAAATTTATGAGAAAACTTCAGAAATGTCAGTTTACTTCAATTGAAGGTTTTAGGAGGAAATGGAATATAATTTTTTTTTGTAAAGGTTAAGTGTAAGGCGCTAGTGATATACAGTTAACCCTCACTTAACGCGGTTAATGTAACCCGGAGGGTACCGCGGAAAGCGAGAAACGCGTAAAGTGAATAATATAACATACGGGATTAATTGAAATGGAGTCCAGGGCGATCCCCAAACTCCACTTTTTGACGACACATAACTATGTTGTAGTAAAAATAACATCTTAATTTTATGATGGTACATGCACACAATTAATACTTAAGAGAAATAGAGAAATACAGTCGCCAAGTTAATGTCCATTCAAATAATGGACACGACTCCCTCCCCCTCTTCTCACACTACACTGCTGGCTCTTCCCTCTCTGAGAAATTTTTGGGGGAAAACCAGGTATAGTAATAAATAATACCTCAAACTAAAGTTAGGATAATATAATTGACATTGCTGGATTCCTTGTAAGACCAGGAATATTTTGAATATAAATGTCATATATTTTGCACAAAAGATAACATACTTACTCAGATTAAACATTTCATCTAAAAATTTTATGTCTAATGCAAAATATATGATGTTTATATTCAAAATGATCATCAAATTGTAAGAATTCCAGCAATGTAAATTATATTCTGGCCGGGTAATTTGTATGAATTTTATGAGCTAAAACAAATATCTTCAGTTAATAAAAAAAAAAAATATTCTTCAGGACACTATCTGTCAATCAAAGTACCCCACCTTGCCTCCTCCCCCTTCCAACCGCGTGGTGAGTCCCAACCCTCCCCTCCACCAATCCTCCCTTCAAGAGATGTTGGGTGAAAAATTTAGATTTTAACATTTTGTATTAAATAATACCTCAGATTAAAGTTAGGATAATATAATTGACATTGCTGGATTCCTTGTAAGACCAGGAATATTTTGAATATAAACGTCATACATTTTGCACAAAAGATAACATACTTACTCAGATTAAACATTTTATCTAAAAATTTTATGTCTAATGCAAAATATATGATGTTTATATTCAAAATGATCATCAAATTGTAAGAATTCCAGCAATGTAAATTATATTCTGGCCGGGTAATTTGTATGAATTTTATGAGCTAAAATAAAAATCTTCAGTTAATAAAAAAAAATATTCTTCACACGGTAACAGATGGTCAGTCGCCGGTCCCTCCCTCCCCCCACCATCGTCCCTACTAGAAAAATGTGTGGGAATACCAGACTGTTTACCTTTTTAGTAATAAATAATAAATCAGACTAAAGTTAGGATAATATAATTGACATTGCTGGATTCCTTGTAAGACCAGGAATATTTTGAATATAAATATATATTTTGCACAAAAGATAACATATTTACTCAAGAGTAAACATTATATCTAAAATTTGTATGTCTAATGCAAAATCTATGA